AAGACCGAATTGGGACCGGACCGGGTCAAGACCGGACTGTATCCAATCCAATCTTCGGTCCTTATATTCTCAAAAAAAACGGACTGGACCGGATCAATTTGGGCCAATTTAACCGGACCGGACCGTATAGCCACCCCTACCTTGAACAATGTTAGGCATATTTCAGAGATGACTAAGAATATGATATCTTTGAGTCTACTAGACAACAAGGGTTTCAGCTTTGAAGGTGAGTGTTGTAAGTCTACAAAGATTCTAATGTGATTCTGAAAGGTGTTAAGGTTATTGGCGCCTTGTATAGTCTACAAGCTTCTTTTTTGACATGTTCTGTTGGTGATAAGTGCACCAAGTTGGTTCTGAATGACAAGTCTAAACATGGGTTGGACTTGCCGAATGATTTGGTTTATGTTGACCGCCCTTAGATGAATTTGGTGACAGGGGAGATCCCGGTTCATCGGTAGATTTGGAGGAGTTTAGTACGTCTGAAAATTTTATATATGAGTTTGACAATTTACGTCGCGTTTGAGTTTGCGATATGGATCACATCTGGGTACATCTGTCACCTTTGGTTGCATAATACTCATTTTATTTCATATAGATGATCAACGTACAACTTTATTCATTAGTGCTTTTTAGTACTAGGAACAGGCAAAACCCTACTTAGTACATGCACAATTTCGACTTTAGAGACCAGAATTAATTAATTAGGCATCTTAGCACCGTTTCCTTTTGCTCTTCCTATAATCATCTTGTTTCACTCTCTTCCCCATCACGCTTCTCTCGAAACACTCTTTCACTAAAGAGCAAGATGATTAATTCTTTGGTGATGGCGGAGCATGGCCGCCGCCCTGGCAACCATTTTGACAACCATCGCCACAATAATCAGCAGTTGTCCCGCAGAAGCCATACGAACTGCAGCAATACCCAGGGTCGCACGTCCCGCCGCCGGCCTGCGAGCCGCAGTGAGGGTCGTTGTAGGAGCCGTCGTCGCCGCCCTTCACCACCACCCCGCCGCCCCGTCGGAAGGCAGCAAAAGAGTTACCATTATCGGGAGTAGGAGGCGGCGACTTCTTGCCGCCGCCGTCGCAGTTGCTCAGGCAGCCTTTGCCGCAGTGCTGGTCGGTGTTGCCGCACCACCCGTACTCACTGCAGCAGCTGCCGTCCTTGCACTTCTTGCCGGGCCCGCAGTCCTGAGCATTAGCCACGAAGGCAGCAGGGTTCGTCGCCGATAATATTAATGCCGCTATGATCAGCAGAGGGACAGCCACGTTCATGTTGATCTTCATTTTTTTTTTCTTCCTTTCTATCCTCACCACCTTTGATTGTGTGTTTTTCTGACTGTTTTGATTGTGTGATTAGAAAAGTGGTGATTTGGGATCGTATTTATACACTCGTGATTATGGTTGTGGACAGAATTACACAAGGGTGTTATTTTATTATGTTTTGAGTTTTGTGGAGATCTGCCATTCTACGTACGATGAATTGGTTAAGAAAAGGGAACCCAACAGAGGATTCTTTCCCGTAAAAAGGAGTCGGTCGTTGCCTGCCAGTGCCATCTTCTTTTCCGGTGTGAAGTTAAGGTCCCGATTACGGTTAGTGGAGTTTGCGGACTTCATAATTTCTTCTTGGCGGAGCCAGCTCCAGCAAGGTGATCCTTTTGGCCAAACAAATAAAATATATATATAATTAGGACTCCCAAATACTAATGTTAGCTGTACATTTGGGATGCCCGATGAATAGTATAAGTTATATTGTGATATATAATGACCTCATACACTACAAGAAAAATGAGAATTAACGGCAAAGTCTATTTGCCACAATAAGTGATTTATTTGCCGAGAGAGCGGTATAGCGGCACACAATTGTGTGCTGTCAATACTGCTGCCGCTATGTCTGTCTCTAATTCATAAATTCCCAACAGATAGTTTTGTTGCCAATTTGACTTTTTAATTACTATTTATTGTGTCCTTTTCTCGATTTAGTAGCAAAAGTATTTGTCACTAAAATTTAGTTTAGCGGCAGATATATATGCTTCCATAATACGTTTTAGAGTCACTTGTATTAGCCTTCAAATTGATCTATAAAAGCAAACTAAGTGCCGCTAAAGGATAAATTTTTGTCGCTAATTTCACATTTACATACCATTTTTCTACTTTTTGAGACATATTAATAGCCTCTAATTCGTATATTCTAGACAAATCTATTTGTTGGTAATTCTACCTTTTAGCCGCACAAACACTTGCTGGTAATTAGATTTTTTTTCTCCGTAATTAATTAGATTTTTTTCCCGTTGCATATATGAGAGGCTCGCATATTAATATTAAATTGGACTCCAATATCTTAATAATTATGATATTTTAATTAAAAGAAAAATGAAATTGAAACTGAGGGATATTATTTAAAGAATAGGCAAAATGCATCTGTGTAGCCAAAACTTTGACGGTTTTGCCAAATATAGCCACTTTCGACGAAATACCAGAAATAGCCAGAATTTTGAAAGTTCCATGATAAATATAGCCATTTTTGTTACAAACTTTAACGGAGTTAGAAAGCCCGTCAGTTAAGTTAACATTAGACTGACTAGGATGCCACATCATCACACATGTGGCGACAAGTCATCAATATAATTGCCACATCATTTTGATTTATCCTTTATTAAATAAATTACATAAAAAGGAGGAAAAAAATTGCCGTATATAAATGAAAAAAATAATTAAAAATTTTCAAATAGATTTTTTTTATTTGTGAAAACTAAAAACAAAATAAATAAATAAAACAATAAAGGAGTGCTCTCTCTCTTCCCTAAACTCACGTCCCTCTCTTTGCTCTGCCGCCGCCCGCCGAGCATCTCCTTTCTTCTTAATTCTTTCTTTCACTTCCTCCTCAAATCCTCTCCCCTCCATCCCTAATATTATCCAGATCAAATACCTAACTGATCTCTATTTCCCCAACTCTCTCCAGCGGATAATGCTGATTCCATGGCGATTGGCGAAGGAGGTATGTAAAGAAGATAGCCAGTCAGAGGGAGATACCTGTGGCACCGCAGCGAGGCAGAGGAGGGATCTTGCGGAAGAAAACTAATTGATTCCATAGCTAATGGTTCTTGAAGAAGATGATTGACAAAATTCATATGTGTTGACAAAGAAGACAAGGCGAGGAAGAAGACCAGATCTGCTGTTAAGGAGGAAGGCGCAACCCACAAACCCTACGACATGGCCCCACTAATCGCCGCCATCACCCTATCTCCGTCCAGATTCGGAGTTGTGCAATGAATAGAAATTGCTCGATTAAAGCCAAACCTCCGAATGAATCGTCGGATTTGTTCTGTTTCAGCTCTTCCTTCTTAGTATCTTCCTCGCAAAAGCCCGAACTTTCGAGACCACTATCTCAGCTCTGCCTCATATCCAATCCCTAAAACCTTTGGATCTAGATTTGGGGGAAAAGAAAAAGAGCAGGAATTGCGGAATCAATTGGGGTTAGAGATTGAAATCCTTGCGTCGGCTGTAATTTGAGATTTATGTTTGATGGTGGTGGTGACGGCTACGATGGTGATGGAGACCCGTCGGAGATGGACGACGGTGATTGTCACGAAGCCAAAGATAAGGACGGTGATGAGGCCTCGAATAGACGGTTCTGGAGGGAGAGAGAACGCAACGGAAGATGGCCGCCAGATCCAGCTTTTATCTTTTTTTGATTTTGAACGAGAGCAACCTAGAGCCGACTGAAGAAGGGAAGAGAATGGAAGAAATCTTAAAAAAAGAGGGGAGTTTTTCTTTGATTTTTCTCTGGGTTCACGAAGGGAAGACTAAGAGAATAAAGATGGTCAAAACATCCTTTTTCAAATTTTTAATTTTTTTAGTTTATCCACGTGGATTTATTACTAAATGGAGAGTGTCCAGCTCAGCCTTCCGTTAGTCCAGCTCAGCCTGTTACTTAACACCGTGAAAGAATAGGACGGAAGTGGCTATTTTTGGTATTTCGTCAAAAATGGCTATATTTGACAAAATCTTCAAAGTTTTGGCTATACAGATGTATTTTGCCTAAAGAATAAACACAATCTCTTTACAAACCGCTCAAGGAAATAACTAAGCCAAATGTGAAGGGGCAAAAAAATAAACAATGCTTCACGGCTAGGTTCTTGCTAACTAAATATACTATAATCTAAATACTACCCGCCAATACCATAACACATATACACGAAGTCCAACTTCATCACGAACTTTTGTGCAGGAGAAGTATTCAAACGTATTTGGGGAACGGTTTTGATTTTCATTTCAAGATTAAACGTATCTCATGATTTGGGTTAGAAAACTAAGGACTGGGGTTTATCCATTAGTGGTTAGGGTATAGTATCATGCCCAAAACTCCGGTTATTTCTTGATCTAAATAGCAAAACTCAAAATGGCGTACGGTAGTCTAACGTACGTCCGGGCGTACGCTAGCCTAAACCATATGATATATATATGTTCTACCTGTATCAACTTCTAGATTTTTATCTTGTAAGAATCCGGAACTTTCCTCCAGTCATCATATTGGATAGGAACATATGCACCATTTCTAGATATAACACCCAAGAAGTTGGCTAGCTTATTTTGACCTTCACCCACTGGTTGTCCATCATCATTCATGGCCACGAAAATCTTTTGACCTAGAGATAGGCCCCAAATATCCTTGCACATAGTTGACCCTCTTCCTTTTTTCTTCTCAATCGTTCGTTGAGGCATCAACATTCGATTCATCTTCACAACGCAATCAATGAATGTTCTATTTTTCCTTTTCTATCCACCTGAAAATGGCACTCGGATGTTCAAGAAATTAAACACGTATGCCTAATCAACAATATATAACGACTAGATCATCAAAAAGCCAAAGGAGTCAAAATTGTTCCAGTTCGCCTAGTCAACAACAATGCACAAACATAAACTCCCTACATCATCAAAACCCACAGAAACTCCCTACATCAACAATCCGAAAGTATATGTACACTAGAAGCCGAAAGAGCAGGGGCAATTCCACAATGCAAAATTCAACAATTAAAATATTATATAGGGCAATCACTTAGCAATTGAACCTTCCGGTTGTGCTTTGTTACCAACATATGATTTTAATGTAGACAAAAACCTACATCAATCAAAGGCTAATTATTTAACGAACTTATATCATGCATTCTATACTTTATAGAGCGAGCAAAAATATACAGGTGAATTAAAATATATACCATACTATAACAACATACCTCTCAACTGGATACATCCATCTTGCTTGTACCGGACCACCTAACTTGGCCTCAGACGCCAAATGGACAGTCAAGTGGATCAAAATATCGAAAAATGCTAAGGGAAAGATTCTTTCCAACTGACATAGAGTTAAAGCAATTTGTGCCTCTAAGCGAGTCAAGTTCCCTACACGACCCACCTTTGAACATAATTCCTTGAAGTAGGAGCATAGTTGGATTATTGGCTTGCTCATCGATTTAGGCAAAACTCTTCTTATTGCCAAAGGAAGAACTTGTTGCATTATAATGACTATCATGACTTTTCAAACCCGAGATTTTACGATTTTGCAGGTTCACACAATTAGCTATATTAGCAGCATAGCCATCGGGGACTTTGACACTCTTCAATACCCCACACAAAGTTTGCTTCTTCCTAGAAGTGAGCGTAAAAGATGCATCACGAATGAAAAACTTACCAGAAGGATGCCTCTGTGGATGTAGTCCCTCCCTTATCCTTAGCAATTGCATATCCTGACGAGCTTTGACACCATCTTTTGACCTCCCAGCAACATTCAATAATGTAAAGAGAATGCTATCACATACATTCTTCTCAATATGCATCACATCAAGATTGTGCCTTAGTAGGTTACTCTCCCAATATGGCAACTCAAAGAATATACTTCTTTTCTTCCAACCATGAGGTAGAGTCTCATTATGGCATTCTTTGCCAAACGTGATCTGCTTTCCATGTAACTCATTTAACACCTCAGACCCCGACAGTGGTTTAGGAGCAGGTCTGAACTCTTGTTGATTGTCAAAGGATATTTTATGGTGTCTGAGTACATGGTTAGAAGGCAAAAATCTGCGATGGCCTAAGTAGCAATATTTGTGACCATGGTACAACCACTGCGAATGTGTATACTTATGACAAGAAGGACATACTAGCGAACCTTTAGTGCCCCATCCTGATAACATTGCATAGCCTGGGAAGTCACTTATTGTCCACATCAGTGCTGCCCTCATTTTAAAAGTTTGCTTAGAAGATGCGTCATAAGTTTCTACACCATCATTCCATAAACCTTGAAAATCCTCAATCATCGGCTGCAAATACACATCGATGTCATTTCCAGGAGACTTTGGACCAGGAATCAGTAGGGTTAAAAACATGTATGGCTCCTTCATGTTTAACCAAGCAGGCAAATTATATGCCATCATAACAACTGGCCATGTGCTGTGTGAAGTACTGATTGATCTGAAAGGTTTGAAACCATCAGCCGCTAAACCCAATCGAACGTTGCGAGGGTCGGAAGCAAAATTTGGATGATGAAAGTAAAAAGTTTTCCATGCTGGAGAATCTGCCGGGTGCCTCAAGTTGCCGTCTTTTACATGACTTTCAGCATGCCAACGCATCAAATTTGCTGTGTCTGGCGTAATGAACAACCTTTGAAATATTGGCCCTATTGGAAAGTAGCGAAGCTTCTTGAAAGGATTTTGGTAGACTTGGATTCCGATGAAGCAGTTGGATCACTCGATGTATTTTGCCACCTATCAGCTTTACATATCACACACTTGGACGCATTGATATGCTCTTTCCAAAATAACATGTAGTCATTCTGAAAAACGTCATAAGTTTTCTGACTCAGCCCCAATTCGGACATAACTTTCTTCAATTCATAGTGAGATTTGGGTAAAGTTTCTCCTGCAGGAAGAACTTCTCGCAATAACTCTAACAACATATCAAGCGATTTGATGGACCATTTCCCTACACACTTCACGTGAAATAATCTGATGATGAAGGAAAGCTTGGTATGACTAGTACAACCAGGAAATAGTGGAGTTTGATGTGCTTCTACCAACCTCGAAATTTTACGAACCTTCGCGTTTGTTTCATCTGCTTCTCTTCCGGACTTATTGTCGTTCTCCAGATCACCAAGCATGTCATCAATTTGTTGCGCCCGTAGAAGGAGATGCATGGAAAGAACTTTCTCCATGTAAAACCCAATTTGTGTAATTGGGGAAGAATCCGAAGCATACCAAGTGATTGTACACATCTGGACGAGACAACCATGACTGATTGCAACATTTCTTGCACGGACATAAAATTTGTGCATCGCGACAACATGGAGAAGCATAAGCGAAATCCAAAAATTTGTTTGACCCCTCTATATATTCCCCCGTACTTCTTGGCTTGTTCGTCCAACTTTTATCCATCTGCAACAAAAACAAATTCATAATAAACAGGTTAATAAATAATTTGTAATTAAGAAGCGATTATAGCCTTTTTCATTCAACGAGAAAAAAATATAACCATTGTCGCTGTAGATTTGATCTCCGGAGAATGGTATGAACTATGAACTGACCGGAGAATGGTCTTACAAAAAAGTAGACCGAAATTCCGATACCCCTGTCCGCCTAGACACTCTTCGAGACACTTGTGAGTGACCCTCAAACGTGTGTCTCTCTTAGAAATTGATAGCAGCAAATAACTTGAAGTTCCAATTTATAGACCATCATTATACTTTGTCCTTGTACATATCGTATTCGTCTTCCTTATATGGCACGCATTTTTTTGTTGTTGTTTTTTTAGCTAAATCTAAGAAATTGATTGTCACATTCTCATTTATAATATTAGTTAATTAATACCAATTTACGAGTTGGACAATTAAATAAGGAGTCACTTTATATGCCACGCCTCTCATGATCATTCTATGCCAGCTGTTGCCACCATGTGTAGTTATTTTTTGTGGTTCTAGAGTCTAGACCACATGTGATTAGTTTATTATAATGGCTAGTTAGAGTGCAATGAAAAAGATGGCTCTTGCCTCGGTTAAATAACATTTGTTCTTTTTTTAGAGAAAATAAAACAATTTACTTGTTATTTAAATCATAAATGGAGTGGGAATTATAATAAATAATTATATCATTTAATTGGAGGCACATACGTGTTCTGTGGGGACTATCCTATTTGATGGTATTTCAATTAAAATGAACGGATTGTTTTTCTATTTTCCTACAAGGTTTTCGTATTAGATAATAATAGGACAACTATTAGCGACAATAGGAGTAGCCTCTAAAATGATTTATATAGGGGCAGAATATTTTCAGCCTCCAAAAGTATTAAATATAATTATAATAATGAAATTCGTTTTTCATAGATAACAAGGCAAAACTTTAAAAGACAGTTACACAAAATGTGCCCCTATATGCAAGATTTTAATTAAGTTAAAATAAATTGTAAAAATATAATCATTTTAGAGGCACATAATTTTATTTTTAGAGGCAGATAACATATTGGTCGTGTAAAATGCATTTTAGCAGACAATTACTTTATGTGCCGCCAAATTTTGCCGCTAAAGTTGATTTTTCTTGTAGTGATACAATGATTTTTCTATTATATCATTCAACGTTAAGATAAAATCAAGCCCCAATTCCTCAATTCTATCATATATATGATTGAGTAACTCAACTTCATAACAAAATCCCAGGTTAAACGATCATTTTATAATCTCTTATTTTTTGTAATCGAATTGTATCTTCACTTTAGTTCAAATTGAAATAACTACAAATTAAATTGTGATATACACGATGATATTTGTTTTGATGCACATAAAAATATTTTTTTCGAATCAGTAAGTGTAATACGAGGCTGTATCAATAAATTCGTAATTTGTAAAAAATAGTATGTAGATTAGGGTCGACCCACTGACCCAACCAGTCCTGACCCGTCCAACACTTGAGGGTCAGACAAGGTCAAGGAGATAGGGACCGGACGGGTCAGTTATATATTTTGACCCTTCAGTGATGGGTCAGGGCAATTTTCAGTCCTATGATTTTGTAGAAAATTCTTATGTAATGCGAGCATTATGTTTTTGTTTTAAAGTATGTTATTTTGTAGAACATAATTACGATAGATGAAATTGCGGATGGTCCGCGTGGCCATTGGAGGCTGGGATTCGGGCTGTGATCTGTGTTAGTGTTGTGGTATATGATCCACGATTGAACCTCTCCCAACAACTCGAGTTATTGGGATCAACTGGTTCTTGACATGGTATCAGAGCCTTCTATGACCGAGAGGTCTTGTGTTCGATTCCCGGTGACCCCCATTTGTTAAGCACATGGTATTCTTGTCTTCAGACCTGTGCAATCTTCAAGCCCTTGTGAGTGGCTTTCGTTTGAGGGGGCATGTTAGTGTTGTGGTATATGATCCACGATTGAACCTCTCCCAACAACTCGAGTTATTGGGATCAACTGGTTCTTGACAATCTGGGGTTCTTGACCGGGACGTGGCCATTTTCGCTTGACGGCGGAATGGCATTAAGAAATGCAGCGATCGAGGGTGGTGGCCGGGGATCTAGAAGAGGAGACGGGAAGATGGATAAAGAGATGTTTGGAGTGGAAGAAGACAAACTGGACGGAAAACCGTTGAAAAGACAGGCTAGCTGGCAGACAGAGCAACCGAGTGAAGAACCATGGGCCCGGCCCAATTGACAAAGTCCAATCCGACTCGGTGTTACCATTCAATTGACGATGGAGCGGAGGCCCAAATATGGAGTTTGGGAGATTTCCGGTAATTTAAATGGAGCCTTGAAGCAGCCCAAAATCCAAGAGACAAGCCTACGAAAATTTGTTTTGCTGGACCAAACTATTGAAATTTGGTCCTCCCTCAAAATTTCTTCTCCATTCGATCCGATCCGATCGTATACTAAAATATCAAAAGCATCAATCACGACTTTGGTTGCTTGCCGTTCTTCGATTATTTATCTACCATTAAACAGAAAACTAGTATCGGGCCTGGCCCCTGCCGGAGTGTTTGATTATTATATATTTTGATATGTTGTTGTCATTTATAATATTTAATTTTTCAGTATAGCTAAAAAATAGAAATGATTAACAAATATAAATAACTAATAGCGTATTTAGAAAGTAAATAGTGTCTATTTTTTTGGTATTTCATGTAGGACAACATGAAAGTTTCTTCCATTACTCACACAAAATCAATCTTAATCATAAAAGAAAATGATTATCCATTCATGTAGGTTAATCGAATATTCTTTATCAATAGTTACCATCTTTATTCATCACGGTACGTTATAGATATGAAATTATATCCTGTGAAAGAATATATAGGGCACATTAGAGATTGATCAACAATATGAAGTAGCATGTTAAAGATGTACAACGATAA